GTCCAATTAATTGGTGATACTCTATATTTCTTCCTAACTCTTTTTAAAGTATTTTTTAAAAACATCTTAGGTAGAAGATAGTCTTACATGTCTATTACTTTGGATGCTGTATTTAGATTTGGAATCTTAGTATTTTAAGACTGTATTTTACTTTGTTTATTTTTAGTCTTAGCAACAGTCTATATATAATCAGTATGATTCACAAGGTAAAGAATAGTTATAGACTTGTGGAGAAAAATCTTCTATAAGTCTATTTCTGGCATGTAGAAATGGAATAAGAGAATACATTGAATAAACAATAAGCACATGAATTCTGTAGAAATTGTGTGTTATATATACTCCTTGGAACATGGGAGAGTTAAGACATACAGTTACATAGCAGTTAGAATAGCGAAGCCATTGATTTGTTTACTTACTTTTTATTTATTTATTTATTTATATTTTAGGAACTGTTTATCAAAACTTCAAATCATAGAAAACCTCAATAATTTTGGTATACTCTGCTATTTTTTTTAAAATGAGGAAAGGAGCTATTCATTAAAAAAAAAACCCTCTTTCTGATTACAAACTAAAGTATGCTCATTTCCTAAAATTTGGAAAAGCACAGAAAATCACTAAAAAAAAAAAGCTGATTTTAAACTGGCCATCATGAAATTAAAAAAAAAACTGATTAAAAGGTTGATTTTGTTTTCAAAACCATCTCTAGGTTTTGTCTGGACTTTGTACAGGCCAACTCCATCTCTTACAACAACCATGAGATATGTAGTGTACCACAAAACTGACACAGACGTCACCATAGACTAATTTGCATTTTGTGTCTACAACTCACAGGTGCTGAAGTTAGTACTTTATTTTTTTAAATTTATTTTTGTCAGTCCTGGGGCTTGAACTCAGGGCCTGGTCACCATCCGTGAGCTTCTTTTGCTCAAGGCTAGTGTTCTACTACTTGAGCCACACCACCACTTCTGGCTTCTGTTTATGTGATACTGAGGAATCGAACCCAGGGCTTCGTGCATATTAGGCAAGCACTCTACCACTAAGCCACATTCCCAGTCCTTTATTTAATTTCTTTAAAGAGGTATATTGGCCATAGCTTTGGAGGTTAGGGTTCAGACTGGGTAGATCCATCTTGTCAGCCTCTGATGAGTGCCTCCTGGCTTCCTCACCACATGAGAGGTGGCCTCATGGGACGAAGAGCCGCAAGGGGAAGAGATCAGTCCTAGGAACAAAAAGGATCCTAGGCCACGCTTGTTATTTCTGTGACAACTCACTCGTGGCAAGTAACAAGTTTGCATGACCCCTGCATTGGTGTCTTCTAAGAGCAATGTCTCCAGTGACCTTACCACTTTCTACTAGACTTCACATTTTAACAAGTTGCAAGAAGTAAAAGTTACTAAGAAGTAACTCTAGTGGTCCTCTGGTAGCTTCCAGAGCACAAATCTTGGGCAACACACTGAAATTATGTCTAAAGCATAGCCATGATAATGACATGAGGTGGTTTTTTTCATAAGCATCATTATTGTCTATAGAATATAAGCATAGCTGATGGGCTTACCAAACTACTATTCTTCTTATGGATGTTCACTTGGTGTTCATCTTTAGTAGAGCTGAGTATGTATGTATGTATATATATTATTATGTATATATATTATTTATATTATATATTACATATGTAATTTTTTTCTATGTGGTACAGGTTTGTTGTTGTTGTTGTTGTTTTGGTCAATCATTGGGCCTGAACTCTGGGTCTGGGCACTGTCTCTCAGTTCTTCAGCTCAAAGCTAGTGCTCTACCACTTGAGCCACATAGCAACTTCTGGCTTTTTCTGCTTATGTGATGCTGAGGAATGGAGCCCAGGGCCTCATGCATGCAAGGCAAGCACTCTACCACTAAGCCACCTTCCCAGACCTGTGGTACAGGTTTTAAACTCAAGTGTTTTACCCCCCATTTTTATGGAATTTGGCTTTAATAACTTAATTTTCTTTTTTCTTTTTTTTTTTTTTTTGGTTGTTGGGCCTGAACTCTGGGCCTGGGCATTGTCCCTCAGTTCTTCAGCTCAAGTTTGGCATACTACCACTTGAGCCACAATGCCACTTGCGGCTTTTTCTGCTTATGTAGTGCTAAGGAATTGAACCCAGGGCCTCATGCACGCAAGTCAAGCACTCTACCACTGAGCCACCTTGCCAGCCCCTTAATTTTCTTTTTTCTTTTTTTTCAAATTCTTTATTGTGATTAAGTGGTTACATAATTCCCCAAATTTCACAGTATTGTGGGATAGTGATGCTTAGTTAAAGTCACAAACACATTCTAACTTTCCTGGAGCAAATTGTCTATCATGGTCTATAACATTTATGAGTTCTATGAGCTTTGCAATGCAGTTATTTCTTCCACATGGGTGATATGTACATTTCTTTTGTTTTGCATAGCATCAGCTGTTCCCTCTTTCCCACTCATTCCTTCCCTCCCATTGCTGCCATTGAGTTGCTTAGTTCATTTTGATCAATGTCCAGTGCATCTGATGGGTCCTGCTGTGGTGTGTTTTTCCCTGATTCCCTCTAGTTCTGTGTCGTCCTCCTGGTTTCCCTCCCGTGTGCACATATATACCATATATGTGATCAGCAGCATGGGGTTATTTGGTAATGATTCGACCAGATGAGTGGGAGTCCTTTGTTTCTTAAATCTTGTTAATTTTGTCATATCACCTTACATTTTGGATTTAACATCCACTTATCAGGGAGACCACGTGCCGTTTTTCTCTTTGCTCTTGGCTTATCTCACTCAACATGATTTCTTCTAGCTCCATCCATCTTCCTGCAAATGCCATTATTTTGTCCTTTCTAATGGCTGCATAATATTTCATTGTGTACAGATACCACAATTTTTGGATCCATTCATCTGTGGTGGGACATCTGGGTTGTTTCTATATCCTAGCTATTGTGAACAGGAGCCCCTTAATTTTCTTACTTTATATGAGGAGCTTTCCTAAATTGACAGAGATCCCTCTTATGTCATTTTCATGTGATATTAAGACAATAGTTGTCTAGTAGTTGTTATTATACTAGGTTTTGAACTTAAAGGCTTGAACTTGGTTGGCTTGCTTGAGTAGCTAGTGGTCTCCCACTTGAGCTGGTCTCCAGACCAGTTTTTTTGCTGGTTATTTTGGGGATGGAGTCTCATGGACTTTAATGCCTGAACTGGTTTCAAACAATGATCCACTGGCTCTCTACCTCTTGAGTAGGTATGATTACAGTCATGAACCACTAGCACCCAGCTACTTGTGTTTTTGAACTTTTGTCCTCCCCATGTTGATTAGTCTCTATTATCCCTGACCTGTCTAGTTTTGTTTCTGCTTCTGCCTTCTGGATTCGAAAAAAGCCCTAGATTGTGAGCACTGGTGGACTGACCACAACAACTACCCCATTTCAGCACAATCCTCAGACTGTCTGTGTTTCTAATGGACATTGCTGGCTCCTTTTGAGCACTCCTAAAAACATCAGAACCCTTCGCTTTGTTTCTTTGCTTTTTCCCACACACATGCTGACATAGTGCAGGCTTGCTAGAGGCAGATGATTTGTCTTCATTCATATCTTGAGGGTCAAGAGGTGTCTTGTCTCTAATTTTGGTACAAATATTGCTCATGGGAGTTTGATTATGCAATCGAGTTACTCTGTTTTGATGTGGGAATTCAGGAAATCCAAGATCTATCCTTGCACTGTGGCTTCTCTTTTTCCAGAATTTGCTCATTCCTTTCAGAAGTTAGGATTATTTACTATGGCCTTTCCATCTTTGCGTCTAGGAACCGATTGACAGAAAGGAAGTGTAAACTAAAACTGCACTGCGTATACGTATGCGTGTGCGAGCATATATGAATGTTTAATTTGTAGAGGTGGGGTGCTACTGTTGAGAGTGTTGCTGTATATGTATGTGTGTATATCTTAAAAGCCCAATGCTGTGGCCAGAAATACTGTTTGCATATTACACATGGGAAGGTCTTCCTTTTGGTCTGTGTATGGCCACTGTTTGTAGAACTAGTCCTTATTTTCAGTCCTATGTTTTATCCTGGAATGACTACAACAATACTAATTACCCCAGGACAGATTAGATTGTCTGCAGCTATTTTCCTCCCCCTACAATACACAGCTAGTCTCTGGCAAACAAACGGGCTTTTAGTTGCCCTTGGAGTGTTTCCTTCATTTACCAATTATTTGGGTTCACTTTTCAACAGAAGTCTAGGTAGTTCTAGTATTGCTTCTTCATCAGGACTCTTGAACAATTTCATGTTATTGATTATAACAATTTCATGCTATCAATTATATGGGCAAAATATATTGATTTTGAGATCGGATAAAGCCAAAGACTTGGAAATATAGAGGAATTGCTTTTAAGTGAAGACAAATTTTTATTAGTGTTAATGAATGGATAATTGGCTTCTCTTTTTTTGTTATCATTTGTTATTATTACCATGGCAACTGCAAATACAATTGGGTAAAATAAGACCTTAAATGACTCCATTTTAATATATGTCATTGTGTACTTTTCACTTTTAATATTAGATATTGAAATTCAGATATAGACCCACAGTATGGCATAGAGATTAAGAAATTAAACCATTTTCCATATGCAGGGTGGGTAGGTTTTTGATATGAAGGATCAGAGATTAACAAGGGCCAGAGAGGTAGTACATGTAGAAAGGGCCCAGTATAATGACCACAGGAACTAGTAAAGGCTAAGTATTCTATTAAATTTGACAGGTTCATCAACTACTTTGAAAGATAATAAAAATGCCTTTGTATTCAATATAGTGCATATATCTGCAAGCCTATGATATTTGATGCAGAATAAAGTATGTGTATGTAAAATGGATTGATAAAGCAATTGCGTAGTATAGATGATCAAAGGTATTTAGAATCTTATCGGTAAATTATCTTAAGAAACCCTAACTTCCCCTTTGTACTCAAGAGAACTCAGAAATGTTTGTAAGGAAAAAACAACCAAAACCCTTTATAGAAAAAATATATACTTTATTTTCAACTAGAAAGGTGCAAACATGTAACTTTTGGTCACACTCTCAACCAACAAAACTGTCAAAAACCAGTCATAGTCAAGGTAGAAATAAATGCTTCCAGGTAGAAATCTGACCAGATATACAGGTCCAGCCATTTTTCAGTAAAGGCCATTTGTTCACTAAAAGTGAAGCTACCACATTTCCTAGCTAGAAATCTTTTCAAAGGCTATCACTGCCTTGCGGTCCTCAAACCATCTGCTTTGATGGGCTGTCAACTCTTAAGTGATTACAATTTCCATTTGAGTATCCACTTTAGGCTTTGAATTATCAGACAAATTTCACATCCTATTTATGGTGTTCAGAATTTCAGGCTAACATTTGAAATATCCAAGCATTAAGAACAAAAAGGCACAAACAATTTTAAATTAACTTAGATAACTGTACAAATATATATATATCCACAATATTCACAATATCAATAAAAAATCTGGCTTGTTACAGGCAAATTAATTTACCACAAGCTGTCCAGTCTAATAGACAGGATTCTGATTCCTGACCACAGTCATTCAAATCAGAATGTCAGAGCTGCATCTACTGTGCTGACTTACAGAACAAGTTGATCCAGCCTCATGAGAGTGGAGAACACCATCCTGGTTGTTGCTAAAGCTACATGCAAGTGTATATGCATGCTATAACATTCCTCCTCTATCCCACTCCAAATCCCATGCACACTTTTCCTTTGAGATAGCATCTGTGATGCTACTAGACAGCTACCGATATCTCCACTGCTTCCGTAGCCATTCCTCAGTATACATTCTGGCCCTGTGTGCTACTGTAGTCCCACACTGTCAAGTCTTAACTATCTTCAAACCAGTGTCTGGGGTTGATGTACTATTTGTATGACATGGCACAATATTTTGAATTTGGTGGGATATTTTTCCCCCAGCAGTTAGAAAAAAAAATTAAAAATAGATTTAAATTAACTGGTGCTACTGAAATCATTTGTTTTTACAGAAACATGAGATGTGAATCAGTTCAAGTGATGGTCTAAAGAGTTCATGTCTCTCACTGTCTGGCTTTAGGCCATGTCTCCATACATCTTCCTGTAGTACAGTGACTCAAAGATATCATTGTCTCCGGGGCAGTTGTAATGGCAGGCACAGGTTTTGATGAACATCATGTTCTTCTTCATGGTCTCACCATCTGGACACTTGAACTCCACAGGTAGGGTGGTGGTTCTGTGAGGCGTGCAGCACCGGCCATCTGTGCAAACTCCGCAGAACTTAGCCCGGTATGCCTTCACGCTGGTGCAGCCTGAGAGCTCAAACTTGACAGGCTTGGAGATTTTAGGGGTCCGGATGCACTTCTTGCCCTTCTAAGGAAGAGAAAAGGACAATAGAAACATTAATTACTACCAAGGGAGTGGCTTTCCTCAGTCCTGCTCTCTTCTAGGCTTTAGTTGTCTGACTTCTGTTTATATTTTGAGGAGAGAAACTCTTGAGTTTAGTCTGCCAGTTTTCCCAAAATAGCCATGGCCTCCGCTGGAATGTCTTGAATTAACTAACACTGGGGAGGATTTTTGTCGTGGAAAATTGACAATTCTGATTACACAATGTCTCATTTCAGCACAACAGCACCATACTTAAGATTATTTTTGGAGATAACAAGGCTATAATAACAAACTTCGGTTCCACTCCCTATCCTTCCAAGACAAGGAGTTCGGAGGAAGGGAATCTACACGCACCTTAATGTTCTCCTCCAGGTCCACTTCGCAAGGCCTGACCATACAGAGGCGGCTCTGCTTCTCCAGTCTGCAGAAGGCGTTGTCATTGGTCACGCGGGTGGAGATGCCCATGCCACAGGTCTTGGAGCAGGCACTCCACTCTGTGGTCTGGACCAGGCAGTTGGCTCGCATCATAGTTGGGTCTGGGCCGAATGTGTCTTCCAGTCGGTAGGCTGTGTGAGAACAGAGCACACAAACAGTAGGTTAAATAAAATATTTAAAAAAAAAAGAGCTGGGATAAGACCATTTCCCTCTTCCCTTGGCAGGGTTGGGAGCCAGCCCTGGGAGTGGGAGCGAATGACAACATTGACTTCTAGAGGAAAGCCTCCACTTACCAGCCAGGGCTGGGCCAACCACGGTGTGATCTTTGGGCTCGTCACAGACCCACTCCTCGCAGCATTTTCCAGGCAGCTTGACCCTTCTGGGGAAGGGGCAGTCAGGGCTGGGCAGGCGGACGTCCATGCTGCACAGGGGCACGCAGCCCACCGCCCCATCCAGGCAGGTGCATTGGTATTTGCAGCTGCTCTGGAAAGACTCTCCACTCCGGTACACGGTCCCGCCGAAGACGCAGGGGGCACCATCTTTGGCTGTAGGAGAGGAAGACCAAGGGGAGGGCGGAGAGGTCAGACCCAGAGTCCCCAGGCTCCAAGCACAGCCATGAGGGTGAGGGAGGAAGCGGGGGGGGGGCGCACCGCAAGTGGCAGTGCCCAGGATGGGGTGTGTGGGGCGGCGGGATGGTGCAGGGGTAGCGGGGAGGGGTGGGCTCACCCGTGCACACGCCGATCTTGCGATTGACTGGGGAGCCGAAGTCACAGAAGAGACCCTTGTGCGGGTCGCAGGGGTCGCGCTCGGTGCACAGCTCGCCCAGTTGCTTGGCGCAGACGCGGCAGCAGCCGCAGCCGTCCAGCACGAGACTCACGCCGGCGGGGCAGCTCGGGGCCGGGCCCGCCGGGCACTGGCACTGCCCGCCGCAGTCCTGGCTAGCGGCCGGCTGCAGAGACAGAGAGAGGGAGGCGGGGAGGGACGGTCAGCGGGCGCGCTCTCTCTCTCGCAGACCGGTGGCCGGGCGCACGCCCTCTCCACCTCGCCCTGCGATCTCCACCCCCCGACGGCTGCCAGAGGTGGCCTGGAAAGTGGGGGGGCTCACCTGGCTGCAGAGGGCTAGGAGGAGCGCGAAGGCAAAGCGCACGGGGCCCGTGCCGGTGGCTGTCATGGTGGGGATGGGCGGCGGGAAGGCAGGGGCGATCGGTGGGGTCCGAGTCCGGAGGGCCGAGGGGCTCTGCGGGTGGAGAGGTGGGTGCAGGACCGGCGGGGCGGGCTGTCTCCGGGCTGTCTTGGCTGTCTGTCGGCCGGGGTGGCTGCCGTCGGGCTGGAAGCGATGGGATGGATGCTGGGTGGCGGTGGTCGGAGCGGAGCTGTTCGGGCTGCCTCTTCTCAGCGGGGAAGAGTTGTGGGAGCTGGGCGGGCGACGCAGCTCTTATACGCTCCGGGCGGCCGGGGCTCGCCAATGAGCTGAATGGAGTCCTACACAAACAGGAACATTCCTCGCATTCCTCCCCGCCTTCCTGCCCCATCAACTCACACCGGATTGATCCTGACCCCTTGACACTCAGCATTCCTCCGTCTGCAAAAGCTGGCACACTGCAGCTCACCCGAAAAGAAGAAGGAAAAAAGGCTCAGTATTTCCAGCCCCAAATAGGATTTTCCCCCCCTGTCCCCTTCCCTCCCCTCCTGATTTGTATCATTTAAAAAACACAGGAGTACTTATTCCTTTTGACACCTTTTCTGGGTTTAATAGTTTTGCCCCGTTCTATCCACCTACATGAATCTTTTTTTTTTTTTTTAAGGTACGTGGCTAACAAAGAAAACAGCAGTATTTCTTTCTTCTATTTATTTATTATTTAGTGGGGATATTTTTTTTATTCTTGGGGGGTCTACACAAGAGAGCATAAGGTTGCTTTAACACACACACACACACACACACACACACACACACACACACACCACTACTTGAAACCCCCAAGATGCCTACCTGTGAAGCCCTTGAATTCTATATCAGAAATGAAGGTATTTGATTCTCTGTCACTTGTGATAAGGGTGAGATGGCTCACAGCCAAACAAGAAGAACAGAGCCAGAGGCAGGTTCCAGGGGGAAGATTCCTACCACTCTTGCTGTTTTCTCTAAATACAGATAGGAGTTTTCTTGTGGGTGGTACAGTGAGAAAAAGGGAGTAGCCATCATTACTTCCAGAAAAATGGGTCTATTGTTAGAGTGCAGCAAATGGCCCTACATTGGGTAAGTAGAGGCTCTCTGAGTGTTAGGAATAGAACAGAGGTGGGAAGAAAGAATCTGCCTGGAAGGGGTCCAGCCAGAAGCTTGGTGTTCATTTGGAGTATTTTAAAGACAGCTGGGCTGAGGAGAATTGAATGATTTTGCTTATTGTGAAACGTATCATCTTCAAATGTGGATTGGACATTGAAGTTTAAAAAATTAATTACATGATGAGTGTATCTTGCTGTGCCTGATTTTAATAAGATGTCAGTGAAGAATCTATTTATAGTGATTCCCCACACATCTGGGAGTCCTCTTTGTCTGTAAGGTGCAGGTCAAGGTTAAGGTGCAAGTTAAGAGAAGAAAAGCCTTCATTCCCCTGCTGTGTGCCGAGGTCAGATACTACCTGTTAACCTAAGCACATTGCCATCCTTTTTGTTTTGTTTTGTTATGTTGGTACTGGGGTTGAACTCAGGGCCTCCTACTCTGATTTGGCTTTTCACTCAAGGTTGGATCTTGATTCACATCTGCACTTCTGGCTATTTTGTTGTTTAGAAAAGTCTCGTGGACCTTGCGGTCCAGAGTTGACTTCAAAATCTGATCCTCATATCTCAGCCTCCTGATTAGCTAGGATTAGAATTGTGAACCACTAGAACCCAGCCATGTCTTCAGTCCGGCAATATCTCCAATATTACTACTTAGTCACTAAGGACCAAGCTATACATTCACTTAGAGTCTATTTGTTAATAGCTCCAATTACCATTTTACATAAAAAGACTAATCTCAGCAAAGACAATAATTTCAGGGCCAGGCCAATTTTATCCACCCTAATGCTACTTCCTTTGACATGGTGGTTCAAATGAGTAGATTTCTCAGTTGTTGATGATTCTAAATCTAGGTTGTAAAGTAAGCATATGTTTCTATTGCAAAGTCAGGCTTTAGAAATGATGTATTACAGATTCATGATTTGAAAACATTCTACTTAAATGGTCAGTCATCTTGTAAAGTTTCAGTTCATCCTATTGAAAAATAGCCAAATTAACAAAGAAAAGAAGACCATTGAGTTTCGGCATGGACCACATCATCTGTGCACAATTACCTTGGTTAAGCCACCACATGCTGTACGGTACAGTTGCATGTCAACAGTGCAAAGGGCTTGCAAAGGGCCTCTGAAGCTCAGGAAGACTTTTTCATCATTCTTATTTAATGTTCTCTTCAAGCATTCCTCAAAGAGAAGAGAGACCTGAGAGTTCTTATTTAAAGAAGTAACATTCCAAGTTACATGAATAGCCACATGTGTATTAAAAGCAACTTGGCCCCCAACCATTTCTTCCCCTGTGGATGATTTTAAAAGTTTAAAATATGTGGGAAGCCACAGTGAAATCTTTCAAGATCAAAACCTTCAATTATATCTACCACTAAGGGTTGGAAAGGTGGGGTGGACGGGGAAGGAGGAGATGTGAAGTGTGAGCTTCACCTAAGGTGGGTGGGATGTGGGCCTGAGGTGAGCGCTCTGCCTTGCAGTGTGAGGTAGATGGTGGAATAGTTGGAGATTTCTTGAAACCGCAGGACAGCCTAAGAGCTACCATGGATGGCTTCATGCATGAAGGGAGGAGACTCATTCATTCATGGAGGGCTATGTTGCTAGACTGGGTTTTTTAGTTGGGTGACTTGGGTTGTATTCTTGGAACTGCCATTCATAAATCTCAGGGAAGTCGCATGTAGGAGTCACATTGCCACACATTTTTATTTATAAAATGAAGATAATAAGAAATTTAAACTGTGATATTCAGTGAAATTGGTACTTTGTTTACTTGAATCTTGCTTAAGGTATAACAAAGAATGTGTTACCAGTCTATCAAAACATCATAAAAAGTCAAGACATTATAAAAATAATTAGTTTTCCTATAAAATTCACACCCTGAAGTTGGAATAAATCCATAGGTAGCTCCAAAAGGGTAGTTTTAATATTAGCTAGAAGGAAATAGCATATTAAAATGTATAAGAGCACATAAGGTCTTAGAATAGAAAAAATATGTTTTACTTTATAAAGTTAGACTGGGATTCTTTGATGAAAACTCTTGAAAGGGTTAAAATATAAGATTGCTATTAAGAGAGTCACACACATATATACATGGCGGTGGGGGGGGGAGAGGAGAGAGAGAGAGAGAGAGATAGAGAGAGAGAGACCCAAGACATTCACAGACTGGAAAGTATGTTTTTATGGTGATTCAGACCATCGAATGCCAGGAAATTCAGAGGGAAAGGCTGACACTCCATCCTCAACTCACGCCATGGCATCTGAATTCTTGTACTATTATAAATGAGTCAGCAAATGTTTGTGTGCTCCTGGGCGGGAAAGTGGAAATAGTGGCTTCTTACAATTTTGTCCAACTCTGACCTATCCCAATCCTTTTGACTGACAGCAAGTCAGAATTAGGAGAGAAAAAGGGTCTTTGATTCTGTGTGCAAAATGATGAGGATGGACTCATTTTGACTTACAAGTAAGTGTTTAGCTACCAAACCCATTTTAGAGAGCACATCTTCCCCCCCCCCTTCCCCTACTAAAATGAGGAATTCACTATGCTTGTCACTGAGTTGTTTACTGAGCTATATAAAGTATATATGTGTCTACTTGAACCCAGTCAGCAGGTCTTCTGGTTAACTCTTGTAAGATGTTCAGCTGGGAAGGTATGACATTCTTTCCCTTATGTTTTCTTGTTGTTTTTTTCCTCCTTCAAAAAAAAGAAAGGTTACTTGATCAGGTATCAGACAGACAGAAAAGCTGGCAGGATGACAGGGAAGTGGCGAGACTCAGAGTGTTTGTGTACTTAAAGCAGGAATCTTGCACATTTTCAACTTTTACTTGTAGACATTTTCTTATAAGAGCAAGCAGGAGTCAGTGCCAGCCCTCAAAGCGGAAATCAAAGCTCCCAGGGAAACATACCGAAGGAATGTGACTAAGAGCCAAGACCTATAAGCAATGCATACACTGAGCTGTCAGGCTTATAAGAAGTCTAGCCATATAAGGACAGCTGGACAGAGACCCATTTGTCTCTGTTGGGCTTGGTTGGGTTGGGAGTGGGCTTTTGATGTTTTTAGTAGTCCTAAAGTTCAACCGTGTAAATGAATTCTATAAAAAAAAATGGTATGCCAGAGGCTTTTTGAAAAATACTAATAAATATTATTCTAAAAATCGTCAGGGACCTTAGCTTGGTTTTACATGAACTTCTATTTGCTTTAAATGCAGGTTAAGGAGAGGACGGCTCCCTGGGATTTCAAAGGTGGGAAGGAAGCACGGATGTTTGCCATTGAAATTACTTTCATTACCCTACTGCCTTTTCCTGCTTAGAACTAGTTCTTTAACTTTCTTAGGATATCTTGTGATGCAAAAGCATTTTTTTTTTTTCTGAAAGCAGTTAGCAGTCAGATTTGTTTGTGTGGTTAATGTTTTCATGTTTACCTGCTTATTTCCTTGAGGAACGAGAAAAGGAATTTTTTTTAATAAGATACTTCCTATAGTTTGCTATTTGTCTCACATACATTTGTTAGTTTAAGTACATTTAGTCTATCATTGATTTAGTCTGTTCGTGTGAATGTGTGGTTCAGAGAGCACAGGTGGATCTCTGACATGTTCCCTCAGAGGTGGGAAAGTCAAATTCTCATAATAAAGCGACTTAGGAGTATTTCTAACTCCATGTCCAATCAAAGTGAATGTGCAGCATCTCCTAGGAAGTGAAAGGTGATGTGTAATTTGAAGAGAAGGGTAACTCTTCAGCGAAATGGGTGACTTGCACGACTCAGCAGATTTAGGAGGAGAGAATTGATACTATTTTATACCCCCAAAATAGGAATCAATGAGAGGACAATGATATTGAAAGAGTACTATAAGACAGACAGGAATGTATGCTTCCCTTGTAATTTTGCTGTGATGAGGAGATGAGGAAAATGATTATAGACCACCAATTCATCCAGGAAAAGAATACATGCTCTGGTCAGGAGGTTTGAGCTTCTTTCCTGCAACTCCTGAGATACTTTCTGAAAACTGTTAATAGAAACTTGGGAAAAAGCTGAAGGAAGGCTGAAGCAATGAGTTGCATGCCTGCCTTATAAACTGCCATGTGGACTTCGAGAAGGAGCTTACTCTCAGAGCCCCAAATTTCCCACCTGCTCAGTT